ACCTAGACCTGCCCTGGCACAACTTCAGACCATAGATATGAAACTGTGATGCCTGTAAATCCCCGATGAAGTCTTGCTCTATGGATACTGTTGTCAGCTAATTGCTGCCAACTGAAACGTGTTCGATGCAAATACTTGCTCGCTTACCATTTCGTTATGCTTAGGCGTTGAAACATGTGGGATGTATGGATGAAGATGAACGTCTGTCTTTGTAAAACGCCCCATAACAGTACAGGAAAAAAGACTACAGAAGTGTGTAGGAAGCTTATTTCCTCTGTAGCCATAAAGAGTAAAATATTTTCTTCAAAAGAGACTGTTTTGCATGTTTGAGTTATGTATTTGGTGTGGAAACTGCACAAATCGATCTCAGATCAATTGTTAGGTTCCTCTCAGCAGCCCGCATAAAATGACAGGTACTGTATGTGGAGATGAAGGTGCAGAAATGTCTTACTTGATCTCTCCTTGCTTTCCCCCGCTTTAAATGGTAGTCTGAAATGCTGGTTTTAAAGTTGGGTGTATGGTGGATACTGATATGTTGTAAGGGTTACTTTATAAAGAACTGAGGTGCAGCTGGTGTCACACGTATCTCATCTTCCAGTACTTGCTGGATTTAGCGAGGAAAGGAGGCCCTGATATGACCCTGAGGAGGAAGCACTTCTCGACGACGTACGACACAGAAGAAAGAGACAGACGGACACATCGGCGCTACCTGAAGATTCTGAGGGAAGTGAAAGAGGAGTGTGGAGATACTACCTTGTCTTCTGATGAAGAAGGTAACGCCCTGGGCTGAACTAGAGACTTGAGGTGCAACTGGAGAAAGACAAATTTTTGATGTGGGGACAGTGTCTTTGATAGAAGAATGGAAACTGAACTCCAGTTTTATTGGCTGTGACCTAATGAACATGGGGTAATAGACTTATGTAGATCAGTGCTAGGTCTTGCAGAAATAAATGTATGTATTTATTTTAGATTTAAGCTCCTGGCCTCCAAGTTCTCCAGCACGTTGTCCGAGTCCACCCATTCCCCTGAGAGTGATCCCCACATTGTCAACCTCAGACATGAAAACAGCAGGTGAGAACGAAACTAGGGGTCGGTACGGATTTAGGGGTGAGAATTACTTTGAGACCCTCCAAGAAATCGGTTTGAAAATCTGTTGTTTGGTAGGAAGTCTTGTAATGCTTCATTTTTGCAGTCTCCAAAACAGTTGGCTCTTCTCCCAGTTTATTTAATCTTTTTCTCCTTGGAAGGCTCATGTTTTAACACAAGGGTTTACAGTTTGTGTAATAATACTGATTTCTCTGTTACGCTTTGCCTTTAATGGTTGAAGCATTGGTATAGTCCAGTTCAAAATACTTTGGAGTATGTGCCGAGGGAATCCCTCCTAAGGTTGCTGTAATCAAGTCTGCAAACCCTTCGTGCAGTACAGCTGGTTCTCACTGCTTTTCACTTCCGTACTTGCATCAGCAATGAAATCTGATGACCCAAGGTAGAAAGTATTGAAATAAATTGGTTGATGAGAAGAACGAAATTCAAATAAGGAAAATTTACTTACTGAAATTTTCTGTAAAGTAACAATAATGGAAAACTGTGCAATTAAATCTCTGAATGTTTTTTTGTTGCAGACAAGATAGAACTTGGGGAAAGTGATTTGAAGATGATGTTAAGGAAGCACCATGAGAAACGAAAACGTCAACCTGTAAGTTGTCAAGAATTCCAGGGCGGTGGGACTACCTTTTATCTCTTAGTCTTTTATCTGTTAGCTGTAAAGTTCCCAGTGCTTCTGGGTGACAAAATGATTGCTGCTGCTTTTGTGTGCAGCCACCCTTCAGCCCTTTACCGTAACCTGTACTTAATTGTCAGCATGTATATGCAACTCTTGTTTGTGCTTATCTGTTTAGAAGGATTTTGTAATTTTAGTGATGCATTTCGGAGGGACAAAATTTTGGATTTTGGATTTAGGAGACTTCCTGACTTTTGTTGCAGTAAATAACTTTAGAAGCTGATCCCGGATAAGTTTGGGGCATTTCAGTACTTGGATTATCTTCTGTACCCTTGTTGCTATCTTAACGCTTTGTCCTTTCCCAATTTTGATTTCTGTCCCGTTGTCCCGTAGGACCACCCTGATCTAGTGACGACAGACGTGACTCTTGAGGACATTATGACTCGAGTAAACGCTGGCAGGAAAGGTTCCTTAGCAGGTCAGTGGCTTGGACGCGGTACTTGTGCACTGCCTGAATGTAGGGTATCCCGTGGGCATGAAAAGCTGAGGACGAAGGTGGTCTCACTAGACTGTTGTAGCCTTTTGCTCTTCCCGCAGCTGGCTGACGCCTCTGGGGTTGCCAGTTCTTCCATTTCAGTTGCTCACAGACAACTCCAGTTTCCACTGAAGGTGCTTCCAACTAATTGTTGAAAGTTAATTTGTATCTCTGCTCTAAGCAGTTGCCTTTGCCTTTCTGATTTCACACACGCTGGTTTGAGAACTAGAGGTTTTCTATGAAAACAGAGTGCGTCAAGGGGAAAAATGAAGATTCGTGGAAATGAGTGGGAGGATGGAATGAACTGGTGGTGAATGAACTGATGGTGAACCAGGTGCCACTGGAGTGTGACACAATACCCACATTTCCAAATATACGTTTAAACACAGAGCTAGTTTATGATTCTTAGTGAAATATGGTAAGAAGTTCTTCTCATTATTCTTCTTACCTTTTATCATATCTAAAGCCTTATTCGACCTTGCAACCCTCAAGAAAAAGGTGAAGGAAAAGGAAGATAAGAAGAAAAAAAAGCTGAAGAGTATTAAATCCGAGGTGGAAGATTTGGCTGACTCTCTTAGCAATGCAGATGGAATCCCATCGATGTCTCAGGATCCTTCCCCCATCCCTCTATCGTCTGTCAAAGAGGAGTAAGTGCTTCAAAGGGCACTGAGTGCCTTGCACGGCTGGAGAGAGCAACTGATGTTGCCCCTCAGATTCTAGTGGGGCTTTTGCAGGCATTGGTTTTGTGCAGCTTGGGATGTGTGGAATGTGTGGTGTTCATCCTTGTGTGTGAAAGTGAATATTTACTCAGGGAACTTACTCTGCTTGTGTTCTCTTTCATTTGAAGACCTCTTGAAGAGATGAAGCCGTGCCTTGGAATAAATGAAATATCTTCCAGCTTCTTTTTCCTTCTTCTGGAGATACTGTTTCTGGAAGGACCCGCTACTCTCTCTGTGGTAAGGAACCACCCGCTTACCTAGGAATCTTTGCAGAAAGCAAAATTAGGGGAGAGAGGGGTTTTACAGCTTTGCAATAGTGATTTTTTCTCCACAGTTGTCCTGCTGTAAATTATATTAATATGTAGATTACGTATTAAAGAAATGAAACCCTTTGGGAGTGCATAGCACATTCTGTTTTTAACAGGTTTCATAAGTTTAGTCAGTTGAACCTGTCTTTCCATACCTGTTCTTTAGATCATGGTTAGATACATTCTGTATATTAAAAGCAGGGCTGGTGGGTTAAGTTTTTTCCCCTTTTTGGTGTCTGTTGTCTGAAATACTATGTTATGGTTACTTGAAAAAGTCAGGTGATTTTTTTTTATATACATAAAAATCTTTTTGTCCCATGGATGCGTTTCACTGTTTTGGTTTCTATTTAAAACGGTCATAGCTTAAAGTAGAATAGAATTTTAGTAGACTATTTCTTTTTCCTCTTCAGCTTGAAGATAAAGTTCTAGATTGGCAATCTTCTCCTGCCAGCGCACTAAATAACTGGTTCTCCTTTGCCCCTAACTGGTCTGAACTGGTTTTACCTGCCTTGCAGTACTTAACAGGTGACAGCAGAGGTAAGAAAGGCTCTTAAAAATATTAATGGTGCTTGTACCTCAGTTCTAATCAGTGCTGGTTTATATTTCAGCTCAAATCACCTTTTAATTCATTGCTACAGTAAATCATCGTACTATTGACAGTGTTCCTCTGGCAGGCTTTATTGCTTACATTTCTTGATTGCAGTAGGCTTGTTTTGCATGCAGATAGTAGATAAAACCCTGCTTGATTCCTGCATATGTGGAAATATGTGTGAAATTGCCTCTATAGACAGACAGCTTCTCCTGTTCGGATCATGCACTTCAGGCGGGATGTTTGAAACAGGAAAAAAAAAATAGTCTCTTCCCTGTGCGAATATGTTGTGGTTGTTTTGGGAGATAATAACAGGCAAGCTAGGTGATGCCCTGAGCAGTCCGCTGGAAACATGAAGTTGGCCCAGCTTTGACCTGGGGCTTGGACCAGCTAAGCTTTAGATGTTCCTTTCAAACTAAATTATTCTGTCCTTTGTTTACTGGGAAGTTTTAAAGGGAGAGACAGTGTAGATCGTAGTGGCCTTTGCAACACGAATACGTAATGTTCTCTGTAACGCTGGTGAATACGGTAAGTCCCGAGGTTGCTTCCCGTGAGCCCAGGAATAGTCACTGTACAGTAACAGACAGCATGGACGGGATCTCATCTGACAGCCTGTAAATGAAAGGCTCCTTATCCTGTTCTGTTCTTTTCTTGTGCTTGCCCTGTTACTCTGAGATGATGACCTTCCCTTTGGGCAAGCACAAATTTACAGATGCACTTACATAATCACTTAAAACGCTTTATCTGTCATGATGAGTCTAACTCAACAGCTTGCCTTACAACAGTAGGATTTTGGGGGATGGATGATTTTATGATGTTTCTGACATGAACATTTTTCATTGTAGATGTTCCTTCCAGCTTCTCACCTTTTGTTGAATTCAAGGAAAAAACTCAGCAATGGAAACTGCTCGGTGAGTTTCTTGTGCTCTTCTGTGATTTCTACTGCAGTAAAGGTTGGTTGTTTTCTCCAGGACTTCACTTTTTAGCTTGCTGCAGCCCAGAGAGAAGGACAAACAGAGCTGTTAATTCACTGGTTAGGCCTTTTCTTTTCTTTTATCTGAGCAAAGATGTGTTTTGGATTGTGTTTCACAAGATGTTAGTATCAGCAGCAGACAGAAAATAAGTGAGCAAAGGCACTGGGCTGTTTTTCTTTATGTTGCTGACCTAACCATGTTTATGTCACCCTTCAAATCTGTCTGAACACCTTCATATTTTCCCCTTCTGTAGAGCGTATCTTCTGATTATTCAGAGTAATTGTTAATTATAACAATTATAAATGAATTAAGCTTCTCTGGAGCAAACATATACTGTTCTCATTTTTAAAAGTGGGAACCAAAGAGCAAATTGATAGTCTATGTGCCCAGGTTCATACTGATTGAATTACAGCTCTCTCCGTGTTTATGTTTGTTCCTTTGGCTACTAGGCAGAGTTTTCCATTCTTAACTATAGTGATTCTGGTGATCACATTTGCAGGCTTAAACTGGCAGAGATTTGGAGTCAGGAAGCTATTCCTCAGGTCCCTTTTGCAATCTTTGGTGGAGGTTTTGTAGGCACATGTTTCTGCTCGTGGACTCAGTGACTAGGATTACTTTGGGGAGTGGGAACCATCTGCAAATGTCAGGTGGCTGCGTCTCAAACAGTATCTTGCCTGCTATGCCAGGAGTTGAAGCACTGTCCTTTGTACCAAGACAGGATAATAACTAGGTTTTAGCACTTTCTCAAGCCTGGATGTGTTCAAGTTTTGAAATTGGGGCGTCTGTGTCTGTGAAGTGTGGTGCATAGAGGGGGGAAGGGAGCAGGAGATGACTGGGAAGTACAAGTGACCAGCTTCATAACAAATAAAGGACTTCTATTTCCTATTTTTCCTGATTTCTTGGGTTCTAGGTTCTTGCCAAGATCACGACAAGGAATTGGCAGCACTGTTTCAGCTCTGGTTGGAGACCAAAGACCAGACTTTTTTCAAAGTGAGTCAGAAAAAATCACTTTCTAGCAGCACAAAACCTGACTGAGTTATATCCAACATTGACATTTCTGTTTTTTTGATAGGAAAACGAAGACAGCTCGGACGCCACAACTCCAATTCCCAGAGTGTACGTATATAATACTGCTTGAAAGCTTTTGCAGTGCATGCTCCAGCTGTGAAGTTTGGTCCTTGGGCCTCTGGATCTGAATGGCTGGTTGCTTAAAGTAAAAAGTTTTTACATCATGGGCCAGGAGGGGACTTGATATTCTGATTTTATCAATGTAGTAACTAGACTTCAGAAAGTCAACTGATTTTTCTCCAAATTCACTTAGATTATCAGAGCAAACCTGTAATCTAATTTATGTGCTGATAACTAGGTTATTTACAGCCCTAGCTTACCTTTAAGTATACAGAGAGCGCATTTTAAGATCTCTGCAGGCCTTATTTGTATTCTCAAACTGCTTTCAGAATT